GGATATATCAATAAAGTGAGAAGATGTTTGACCAGAGCTCTATGGCTAACATGTATTCATCATTAGAGTACAAGTGGGACAGGAACTATATGTGTACTTACTTTCTGTGGTGACCCGTGGTAGTTGCTTTAGACATAGGCACCCCCCCCAAAAACAAAAGAAAAAACACAGCTAAAATATATAAGCAAGATTAAAAGCCACTGAATTGAAAACCGTGTATTTTTTTTTTCTCCAATGGTATAGAATTAGGACTACAGCTACAATTTTTAAAACTTTAGAGTCTGTCATCCTCTCTCCCAACTCATGTCAAAGTTCATAGCAGCATAACACAAGATTCCTCAAGAAACGTCAAGCCAGTGTTCTCTGCTTCAGGAGTGAGTTCACGGGTCAAAGTTCAGTCTGTCCGAAGAATCATGGGGGGATGCTCACTGTCTTCGTCCAGTCGCAGGGCGTTGGTTTCATCTTCCAAGCAAGCTCCACCCACTGCGCCCAGGTCCTCTGTATAGGCTGCAGAGAAAGAGACAGCGCTTAGGGATCAGCAGCACCACCAGAAGCTTGGATCCAAAAGGAAGATCCTGATAGACATTTCTAAACTGAATTACGAGACACTGGACATGCAACTGCTCCACTGACTACCACCCAGCAGTGACTATCCTGATCCCCTCCTAACTTTTTGTACTCTACCCTTCTTCCCACAATGTTGTTGACATCACTGCATTCACCCTGGAAGACAAAATATGTAATCTCCATGGCTGTATCTTCTGCTACAGTATAACACAAAAAGGTGGCAAGGACATTAAATAGTTGCATGCCTAGTCTCTACTCACTAAAGGAATCATCAGCACCATTCAAAACCTTATCTTTCCTGGTAGTACAGATAACTTATCAGAGAAGGGCAAATCGCCACCATAACAGCAGCAGTAATAGTATTACAGCACCCTCCACTGTTCTCACAAAACATATACTACTTTGGAGATGATTTACAGAAGCCAATGTAGAGTTAGGACAGAGTTTGCCCTACAAGAGTTAGGTCTGTCCTAACTCTTGTAGGGCAAATAATATTCTGGCATCTATCAATCGATGCATCTGCAGCAAAGCCAAGGAGGTGATTCTTCTGCTGCACTCAGCACTGCTGAGACCGCAGCTGGAGTACTGCATCCAGTTCTGGGCACCACACTTCAACAAGGACATGGACAAGCTTGAGAGAGTCCAAAGAAGAGCCACCTGTATGATCAGAGTCTTAAAAGGCAAGCCATATGAGGAAAGGCTGAGGGATCTGGGACTTTTCAGCCTGAGGAAGAGAAGGCTGAGAGGGGACCTGGTAGCAGCTTACTGCTACTCTAGGGGAGGACATGAAGGGCTTGGTGAGCAACTGTCACCAGGGCACCCCAGGGGAAAACCAGGAGTAATGGCCACAAACTCCTGGCTCAACATTAGAAAAAAACTCCTTCACAGTCAGGGTGTCCAGACTGTGGAATAAGCTCCCTCCAGAAGCGGTGCAATCGCCTACCCTGGAAATCTTCAAGAGAAGACTGGACAATCACCTTGCTGGGGTCACCTGACCACCAGCTGTCTTTCGTGCCTGGTGCAGGGGGCTGGACCCGATGATCTTCCAAGGTCCCTTCCAGCCTCACAGTCTATGAATCTATGAAACTCCAGCACTTTGTAACTATGTATAATTAGGATACCATGATCCAAGGCTAGTGTTACTGGGGTATTTAAGTGCAGCTGAATACCAAGCTCTGTCCCGAAAACTGCAAACGTGAATGATCTCTCCAGCAACACCTCCAAAGTAGCTCACAGAGTCACTTAACAGCTACCTACTTTTCCAGCTATGAGTAATGGAACAAATGCTTCATTACATTTACCAAGTCATAAAAACCCCAAATTGGAAGAAAAGCAGCTTCTAGACACAGGCAGCTTTGGGGTCTCTCTGTCCCCATCTTCTGCCTTTGTTCTTACCATGCCTTGTGGGTGATGAAGGCACGTAAGTACCTTTAGTCACAGCAGCACTGTATGTCTGTGCTACTAATGGCCGGTCATGTGACGCAGACTCTAAAATTTCATTTGCTGGCTCCATACTGCCATCAAGCCTAGTAAGTAAAGAAAGAGCAGATGAACAGAAGTTGATCAAACCAGTCACCAATACAACTGCAGTTGCTACCACGCAGGACAGCTGAGCAAGATAGCCACGTTAGGCAGGCAAGAGGCAATACAATCATTAAGAAAATCTTTTAACTAATTCCTTCTGTGGTTGCAGTCTGCTTTTCCATTTTCAGTGCCACACATTCACCTGCATGGTGACAGAAGTCACCTTCCAAAGGACCGCAGGGAAGGAGTCTTGTTGCTAACACCTCACATATACTCTGCTTCCCACATTTCCAAAGGAAGCCACACTAATGTAAATTCTTCATGGTGTGCACCTTACTAGCAGCAGAAAGGGATTGCCACTAAAGGTACACGAGCAAACTTTGTTAGTGAGATGCAGCTAGTGCTGGAAAAGTGTTTTTTTTTTTTTTTTTTTAATAGTATAGCTGATGCTAGCAAAACAAAAAAACAAAAAACAAAAGATATACTAGGGTCTATACTATGCTTTTTGCTGGCACGGCTATTTAGCTACCATGGTTAATGGACAAAGCTATGCCAGTCAAATTTTCAAGACGTGCTCCACAAAGATTGGATGTTGTTCTGAAAGATATATTCTAGCTCTCAGTTATAGACCTGATGAAGGAATTACTGGATCCAATCCTATGATCTTAGTTAGGCAAGCAGTCTGGCAAGATGATCATAACAGTATCTTCTTGCCCTAAAGACTCACAGGGGTTTTTTTCCATTACTCTATCAGTAAGAAGCTTTCCCAAACCATTTGGTAGAACTGCTAACTTAACAGGCTATTTGACTAGCTTATACTCAGGGGAGCCTAATAAATAAGCCTGTAATGAGACTATATAGATCAGAACATGGGCCAATTTCCTTTCCTATAAAAGAGTAAGGATAATGCCTTTTTCTCCATCTTTGGAAACCACTTCGGCTGGGGATGAAGTGTGCCAGGAGCCAGGTATTTCACGATTTAAAAAAAACCTGAACTCCAATTGAGAGGAAATTGGAGCATATGGCTAACAGCAGATTGATTCTTCACTGCAATCACAAAGCATTACACTTCTACTGTTAAAGTGGTGCTTTGTGTTGCAGTTATTAGAAAAGGCAGAAATCTTAAAAAAAAAAAAAAAAAAAAAAAACAGTATAAAAAATGAGCTGCTACCTGGTTTGAGCTTAGCAGCAAAGAAAAAAGTTTTAGCATCAAACAAGAGATTTCATGGAAACCAAAATGGAACAACTACATAGGTAAGAACTTTGTTGGGACTTACTTGTGCTGTTTCATTAATGTGCACTCTCCTCCTTCTTGGGGGTCCAGGTTGTACATGTACAAATAGCCATCAGCAGCTCCCACTAGTAAGCGAGGAATCTTCTGGATTCTAGGAGGAAAAAAAGACAATAGTTTTATTTCAGCAAAAAAGCCTCCAAACTCCAGAGAACGTAGGAGATCTCTTTCCACCTAATTATTCCCTTATTACAACTGAGAGTAGCAAGTAGGCAAGAGAGATCTTGTATCAACAGCTATATATCCTGTCATGGGAGCCCTGGCTATCAGGCACACAACTCCTGTGACATTAAATGGAAGCCATCTGTCAGTCTGATTTGCATCAATTAGCTCCTAACTGGAGGCAGTGTTGCACAATGGCTAAAAGGGACAGGCATCAGATTTTCATTCCATTACCATTTCTGCTACTGACTCTCTCCAGACTCAGTAGAAGCCCATTACTCCATTTTACCTGGGGACATACTTATCTAGTGTTGTGCTGCGAGGCTTAATTATTGTTTAGAGTGTGCTTCATGATCAAACAGCAGATGTATAGCATTGTAAAGGTAAAATGAAACATGTAACTGAACAGCTCAGCACAAACTCCTTCGTTTTCCACAAAAAAATTACTACCACCCAGCTTCTTAGTTTGATAGCTCTGCCAAACGGTTCCATCTTTGCTGAAGGCATAATGAAAGCTAAATACGTTGAGTCATTTCAAATAACTTTTTAAATGAATGCTTTGCTTCTGTATACATATATTACCTAAATTTAACAGCTTGCCTTGGCAAGGTGCAAAAGCTGGAGTTCGCAATTACCTTAAAGCCCTCTGTATTGCCTAGTCAAGGTTGTCTAATCCAACAAACTATTAATACAAATGCACTAGTATACCATCCAGCACTAAGGAGAAAATATTGCAGAGACCCATGAGCATTTTGAACACCCTGTCAAGATAAAGAGTTCCTGTAATCTCACAGCACCTCTGAAAAGCACTTCATTCCACACTGATCAAGCAGCACAAGGGTTCCTGTTAGATTATGGGAAACTGGTCTTCACAAGATGTCCTGGAGCAGGGGGAGGCCTTCAAACATTCATACATTACTCAGCTCCTGATGTGTTCCGTGCATTACCCGTTCAGCTACAGATAAGATACAAGCTCACACAAGCCAGATGAACTCTGGTCATATCTACAACGGCAGCACTTCCTTTGCTTGATATCGGCAGCCTGGCAGAGGATGCAAGAAGCTCTGATAGCCCCTGTACTCACGTGGCAAGTGAACAGATGTTTTTGTGCCCACAGAACGGCAGGCGGACCGTAGCAAAGGCTCTGCCCTGGTTAAACATTTCTGTGACTTGAGAAGGCAGATAGCTTGTGGAGGCCATCAGCACTTTCCCAAAGTAACCTGTCCAGGTAGTAGGCTCTTCCTGAGGTCTAAAATCCAGAGGGACGAAAAAAGAACAGGAGAGTTCAGGTTCACATTCTGTTCCAGACACTACTCGAACTAACTTGCTAAGGGGAGAGGATGACTTAGGGCCTCTTAATGTACAGGGGTTCTCTTCTGTTTGTTTTTCAATAGACATATCAATCTGGTAAGAGTCTAGTACCCCCTCTTTTTACTTAGGGTGAAAATAGACGGCATCTGATGTCTCACTTGTGCTACTGTAAAAATGTTTATGGTAGCACAAATACCAAGGAAATAGAGGTCAGCACCCTTTGCTGCTGTACAAGAAAGGCAAATCACTGGTATAACAAAAGGTGGCAATAGAGACTCTGCTGCTTTATTGTGGCAGACGTCTATCACCTCTGTGGCCAAAGAGTATGAGCAGCCTGAGCTGCCTGCATTCTCCTGCTACCCTAGGGCAGGTGCTCTGGTGGCCTGAGGGGCTATCAAGCCCCCTGAACAATTGCCTGTGTGTCCCAAGTCAAATCACCCAAATCAATTCCAAATCCATGAGTCATTCAAGAACCATATGTGGCCCTGATACCTGCAAGCATCCTCCACCCCTGCCTGGAGCTTCAGATGCTTTCAAATCCTTTGGCGGGCATTCTACGTGCAGGCCCAAGCCCAAAGACTTGGGGGTCGGACATCCCCAAGTTTTGCTTGCCCTCAACCATATGGCTGCAGAAGCAAGCTAGGGAAGAGTCTCCCATTTCTGTAAAGCTGATGTATAGCTGAGATCATGCCACTGAAAGTGGGAGTGGGACACTATCTATGCACTACCTCAGTCAGGGTACTCCCCTGCCAAGACGCTGGTTTTCCCCTGAAACTAGGAAAACCATCTTAGTGGTCATGGTATTTCCCTGCTTACAGAGACACCCTGGAGGACACTGGGGTGCCTCTCTTTAAGTGGAGAAAGCAGGGCTTTTCCTTGTCTACCCAAACCTGGGGCATTGGTCTGGCTGAGCAGGGAAAGTGGGCCCTGGTTCTGGCTGCGTGGGGAATAGCCCTGCTTTCCCCACTCAGTCAGCCCCAGCCCCAGCCCCAGCCCCAGCCCCAGCCCCAGCCCCAGGTCTGGCTAAACAGGGAAATCAGAGATCACATTACCCCTTCTTCCACACCATCAAGGGTGGGACAAGGGGTGATGTGCGTTTTGCCCGTTACAACCACGCATCACAGCACAGCTGATCTGCTTCATTCAGTGATGCCCATTTCTGACTCAGATGTGACCTGCAAGTGCGTCACTGCCTTCATTGAAAAGGCAGAATATCAAATTGTAAACCGATTTTTCTGTTTATAGAGTATCATTACACAAATGAAAACAAAAAACAACTTTAGGACGACTGACTACTGTAAGTATTACTTCCCTTCTCAATCAGGTTGTACTCACTTGTTCATTCATCACAGTGCCACTCATTTTCCACAGAACCTTCCTGAGAAGGCATAGGAAAATACCCTGAATTTCTAATGAACAGCTCCCCAAAGTTTAGGAATACATGTTCTGTCTGTATCCTGAAACAGCAGACAGGGCACGTCATCCCTTAATATGGTAGAGAGATTTTTGGAAGTTCTGTACTCTCCCCTTCCCCCATGAAATGTTTTAGAAGCAGTAGCTTTTCTCACCACTTATTGCATCCAGATGCCAGTGCATGAGGAGGATAAGTTTATAGTGAGAGACAAAAACGTGATTACAAACATGCATGAGCCCCACACTGCTCTCTATAAATTGGAGTGTTCCTGGGAGAGGAATGTATAGGTTACTTGCTGCGAGCTGAAACAACTGATTCACAAGTGGCTTGCTATGTCCTTAACTTAAAAGATTTCAAAAGAAAGGCCCAGACAAACATACAAAAAGTTTTTTCTTGAACAAAATCTCGAGTATTTTGGAAACCTACTTTTCTTTCACAGTCTCGAGTTTGAAGATATGCACCGTCTCCGTGTTACTTGATGCAGACAAAAACATACCATCCATGCTGAAAGCCAATGAGCAGATGCTCACACACCTAGAAAAGACAGCAAGCGCATTTCTTTGTACTAATGCTGTGCCAACTGGGAAATGGAAGAGTCAATATTAAGTCATATAGCATGAATGGTTGTTTAAATCAGCCTACTAGTACCCCATGCTGGTATCTGTGTATATTAGACATAGCAGGCCCCTTCAGTGGATACATAAGCTGCATTGTGAAGGCCAGGAAAAGTTCCAGGAATGTGGCAGAAAGGTGTGGGGGGAACCAGAAACAGCTTCCTTGTTCAGTCTCCAATCAAAGACAACAGGTCACTGTCACAAAGGGAATATCTCCAAAGGATTTAAAAAACCAGACAGATTACACTGCCCTCAATTTTCTCAAAAAGGAAACCTGTTTCTTTAAAAAGCACTCTGAATTTACTGACATCTTTTTCTACTTTACTTATTAGCATTTGGATATCAAATCAAACACCATCGTAACTCCTTAGCTATTTACCAGAAGCAGGTTCAGACAGCAACAGCCTTCCCATCTTTCTATTAAGAACAATCAGAGCCACATTGCTAAGTACTGCAGAAATGAAGATATTTTTGTTATTGTAATAGAAATGGCAAAAGATCTGGAGACATGTGAAAACAGGATACATACTGGCATTATTTTAATGTGTTTTTTCCATCCTGGAATATGAATGCTCCCCAAATGTGCAAAAGGTGGTTTTAGTGGGTTTATGATCCCAAGAGAAACCAAGGGATGACTAGATCATGGGGACCAAACATTAGAATAAGTTATTTGTTTAAACAGCTATTCTGGTGTCAGATACGCAAGATAAGTATGGCTACGCAGAGCGCCATAATTGTATTAGGAGTCTTACAGTAGGTGAGCCATCTGTACAAATATATACCCATATAAACGCATTTCTAAAGTCAAGAGCAAATACAATACTGAATAGAATGACATGCAGGAAAAGCAAGTTTTGGAAGGATGGAGGCTGAAGCTGCTCTAGGCATCCAGGTTAATATGAAAGAAGGCAAGAATGGGCAAAGAACATCTAGAGGGAAGTCAGGAGATAAGCCTGTGCAGTGTCCAGGAAGGGGCTGTTGTAGAAGACACATAAACAGAAGTGGGGCAATTAGTTCTTTGAAGACAATCTTAAATGTAATGCCAAAAGGGTGAGTTTGCTGAGAGATTTGGGGCAAGGCTGTGCATGCTACAACAGTCAAGAAGGAAACATTACCAAAATATGGACAAAAGGCTATGCTGATTAAGAGACAGATGAGAGAACAAATAGCAGAATGGGAAAAAGAGCACACTGTAATAGGGAAGCAAAGAGGAACTAAAGGTCACCAATACTGATGCTGGATGATGGAAGGAATAGGGGCATTATCCCTAACAATATATATACCTCATTTCTGTGGCATTAAGGGCAGATACTTTATACAGATATTGGAGGTGCGCTGATATATCGGTTACATATAGGATCGGCACCGATAAAAGGAAAACTTACATTATCAGCAATCGGTTTTTTTTGACCGGTGTAAGTGGATAATGTTACCAATAAATGCTGCGTGCCTGTGTGACCAGGAATACCGCCAGGCAGCTTGGAGAGCAGCGCTCTGCTGGTAAGTCTGTGGGGAGAAGGGGTGTGGGGTAGGGAACAGGCATGGAAGGGGGGCAGACAGAGGCCCCCCACAGTGAGGGAGGGAATGGTGCTGGGGCAGGCGTTGCCCAGCCAGTGCAGTGAATGCAACCCAGGGGGCTCAGAGCAGGACAGAGCTCTGGGCAGCTTGCCTGGAGGGTGTGGGGAGGTGGGGAAGCTCCCTGCCACTGCCTGCAATCCTGGGGAAGGCATGGGTGGCATGTGCCCCCAGATTTATGTGCAGGGTGAAGGTGGATGCAGGTGAGCTGCTGCAGGCTTGGGGCCAGGGGCTGCAGCAGCCTCTTCCCAACAGGGAGGCTGGGCTAGGGCTGTGCTCAGGGCAGGAGGTGGTGGCACTGGAAGGGGTGGCTATGGGGTGGGCTATAGCCACCCTAAAATTCCCTGTAGCCACCCCTCCCAGCGCTGCCACCCACCCTCGCCCCATGCTGCCAGCCTGTGCTCCTCGCCATCTGCATGCTGTGCACATGCACATGGCATTTATCGGCCACATCAGCCAAAAAAAGCTGATATTCTCAATTTTCCTTATATCGATGCCAATCCTATATGGGACCGATGTATCTGTGCACCTCCAATATGTATATATAATGTCTGCCTACCTACGTCTATCCATACACACACTTTTTAATCTGCCCTTAATGTCACAGAAATGAGCTTTCACCTAGCCTGGACAGAATTCTCCATTTTAAATGATACAAGCAAGCCAAAAAAAAAACAAAAACAAAAAAAAAAACAAACAAACCAGAAGTGCAAAAATCTTACTATGACTGGAACGTAAAATAATCTTCTGGTATCCGTAACGAGTGCTTTTATAACCATACTCAGCATTACACAAAAATATAGTACTGATGTTGAGGGAGAAGAAAAAGCAAAGGCATTCTGAAGGTTTTTGGAGTATGTTACTACCTGCAGTGATTGCCTGTATAATTGAAGATTAAATACAAGACCTTGCTCATCCGTTCTGCAGGAGATCATTTAAGTGTACAGCCTTGGGACTGAAATTAGGCTATATACTTAGCCAGAGAATGCACTTATTCAAACCTGATGTAAACAAATCAATGCTGCTCAGTACAGCTCTCTTAGTGCTGTGCTACTGGCAGCCCTGACACACATTGGGTCCCCCCCACACATTTTCAAGGATTCCAATAGTTGTCCTTTCACAGCTGCTTCTGATAGTTAAATGAAGTACAATTAGTTAAAACAGACAGTTACAGTTCACATGCAGTGAACCAGAGTACAATTAAGTTACAAAGCACAGAATGGGGCTGAAAAATGCTATCCATTTTATGGGTTATAACCAGAGTTGTTATCATGTAAGCAACTGGGACTGGCGCTGTGTAATGTGGTTGAGTAATTATGCATATAAGAGGACTAAACTGAATATACATGGCACTACTAAAGTGCATTTGAATGGGGTGGGGTTTTTTTTGGTGATGCCACTAACGTATTTTAATAGTTTTGAGATAGTAAAATTGGCATACTGTGTTACAATGTACAGTGCATGTATTTGTTATAATAGGGTGGAAAAGTTTGAGGAGGTGGCTCTGCTTCTGGCAGGCTGAAACTGCACAAAGCTTGTCACCTGTACATTCTTACTGGTAAGTGTTATTGAATCCAAGTCAAATTTCAATGGAAAATGGCAGTGGGTCAGTAGCGACATTACTAGGTAAAGATATAAAAACTAATTCTGCCTTTTCTAAGGATCAGCCTTGCAATTAAAGCCAAATTCCAGAAAGACTTCTGCCAGGATTCATTTGTTAACCCCCACAGGACTAAGACATATATCTGAGAGACTGCCAACAAAGATACGATCTTTAACCCCTTCACCCCACTTTTCAGAACAAGACCAACTTCCAAGCGGCTAATTTACAACTGTAATTGGAAAGTGTCAATGTCACCCATAGACAGGTGTAGGACCAAGGCACACGTATGGCTCAGAATGATTATTCTCCTGACTCTAAAGTTTTAATCATTTGCTAAAATGTTGAGCTTATAATCAAGTGCCTCTTTATGCTTTGGACACTGGTAATATCAAATTACTGAGAGATGAAACGGTCCTGTTTTACCTATAGCATTAAATGTACTGAGACAAAGAATGAAGTCAGTAGTGGCATCCATTGCCCTTCAAAAGGTTGAAGTTTTAAAATTTTGTTTTTAAAAAGTTAAAGCATCTCATCTTGGGCTATATAATCACATATGACTAACAAAGATGTGAAAAACCAATACAATTTCCCTGAATGCCAACACAGTTTTGGATGCATTATAATAGACTAAATGTCACTTCTCCCAGCATACATTTCTTTTTAAAGAATATGATGATTTTCAAAGCTGTTTTACTTTCCCACCTTTCTATACTGCCAGTCTGCTGTAGAAGTTCAGGTGGAGGCTGTGAACCTACCAAGAGTCATAACTGGCCTTTGGACTTGCTTTCAAAAGCACATTAAATTAAAAACACAGTGTTTGCTTTGGTCCTTGATTGCTGCTTTGTTATATAAACGTTTCATTTGAAAAACAAGTCTTATACACTAGAAGAACCAGGCATTCACAACTTTTTGTGTTGCAAGGCCGTTTAAAGTTCTGGTATATCATAAAAAAATCTGCAGAGGCAAAACACTCTCATCAAGGACATGCAACTCAATTTGATAGTGGGAAATAGAGGAAAAACCTTGGGTAGAAGCCATCCTAAAAAAAGAAGAGTCAGGACAGCATTCTCCTTCCCTATAACAAACATTTTTTTTTGTTATCCAAATCATCCAATCTGACACTAGCCAATAACCACTGACAAATTCAGCAATTAGTGCTAAAAATGATCCTGCAATGCAACAGATGAATCTTGTTTTAGACAAGTACAGTATTACTGAATCTCTAAAATCCTTCAGCAGTTTACAACAGTCTCCCACACCGCAGAAAATAAGAAAAAGTCTTTCATAACACCATCACCGCTAGAAGATATGTATGGCTCAGTGGGCGCATCTATACATGCATTAATGTGCTTTAGTTAATGCACGTTAAATCTAGTACTGCCATTGTGAGGGCACCTATATTTAAGTGCAGAGGCTGCTCTGACGTGCTGGAATTCTAGCGCATTGGAGCAGACTTGATAAATAATTGAGTTTGCTGGAGCATGGCAATTACCGTGCTCCAGCAGCCTCTTGCATCTCATGTATCAACACCCCCATGCTTAAAAATGGTGGCGGGGACACCTGAACTAAAGCTCGAATGAGCTTTAATTCGAGCACCTGTATTGCTGTTTTTAAGTTTGGGGAATCCGATACAGGAGACTTGGCAGCGCTTTAATCAGAGCGGTTCTCGGAGCCACTAATTAAAGCACCCCCCCCACCAAACCCTGGAGCAAGTGTAAAAATGCTCTGAGGTACTAGGAAAATATAAATTGGCCTGTCTTAATGCACATTAACTAAAGAGCACAGTTTTTAAGTGATGTTTAATGTGCATTAAAATTGGCTAATGTGCATTAAAGCACATGTGTAGGATGCGCCCAGTATGTGCCAACATGGTCTGTTACTGCACTGAACTTTTTATGCTAGGAATATTTCAGAGCATTGCAAAGGAAAGGAAGAAAGGAACAAGGCTTGAGTCACAGAAAGCCATATTCTCTTTTTGCTTTCTCAAGTTAGTATGTATAAACCTCATCTGTAACTATCTCCTGGACCCCCTAAAATCTATTTCAATCACTATATTTCAAGACTACAGGTAAAGTCAAACTACAGAATGCACTGGAAATCTACCACAAGGAACGAGCTTCAGAGAATGAGCATTTTTGAACTTCACCTCTTCACTCCCCTTCGGAATTCAAAGATTTTCTGTCCCTCTGGAATGGAAAATACTCGGATCACTGTCCCCTAAAAAGAAAAAAACAAAACAAAACAAGCCTCATTCCTCAATTTAAATATCCTCTTTGTGCACTACACAGGGTGGACAATGATCAGAAGACTGTCGCCAGCAGCTCAACCTTTGAGATTCTTTTATCAGAATTTTTGCCACCATAAAACAGTCAGATTTATCCCATCATGGAGTGTGGGAGCAGCAGAAAGGAGTCCTTTCTCTCTCTCAGCATAATTTCTTGCATGTTCACATGCTGACAAAGCTAGGACTACCTGCTCGGCACAAAACCACCTAACCAGGTAGAAAAATGCAATACACTTCAGTTAGATTTTAAAGCACATAGTATTCAAATACAAAAGGAGGAAGCTGTGCCGATTGTGCAATTGTCAGCCTGTATCTGGCATAGGGAAATGATTCTTCTCTATTCCACTAGGACTTTTACTGTCTTGTCTCTGTTTTAAACGATCTTCCTAATGTGGCATTGCAAACCTCTTTAAAAATAAAATGCTGTAGCACTGGTGGAAAATACTTAAACTGTATGTCTTGATTACAATCAATCGGACACAATTTAGTTCTTTAAGAAGCCTCATTATCAAACACTGTTTCACAGGATGGAAACTGTACCCAATAACATTAGCAGTTCTGAATTCAGAGTCTTCATTATACCCCAGCCAGCCACTCTTGTTGTGGGGGTGGGGGGGAGAAAAAAACCCCCAAAACAATGGAAGTGCTGATATACACACTTAACTAGAATACTTTGAAATAAGTTTTATTCTAAAGGCACAAGCAAATCAAAACTTACCTTTTCTGATGCTGTGGCAAGTTTAGTACCACTTGCATCAAAAGCCAATGCTGCCAAGGGACTATCATGAGCTGGGATCATATTTGCTGCTCTCTGCAAGAATCAGCCAATAGAAGACAGAACTTAGTCTAGTACAGGCAACCCCACCCACCCA